TTTTGCCATTTTTGTTTTTTGGGCAACCCCGGGTTTTGGTTTCTTTTTTTTGGAGGAAACCCACAGAAAATAATATGGGTTTTGGAGGGTGGGGGGGATTCCCAAGGGTTTTTAAATTCCCCGTCAAGTTTTTAAGGTGTGGGGGCCACGTGGGGGGGCTGTTTTTTTAGGGCAGGACCCGGTTTTCTTTTTCCAGCCCCCACCCCCCCCCCCCCCCCGCGCCCACAGCCACCGTCGCGTCCTCCTGTAACGGCAGTTCCCTCGTCGCCGTCTTCGGTGGCGTTCTTTTTGTTCCGTCCCTTGGTTCTGTAACGTGTTGTTCTTGTTAATTCGATAGGACTTGAATGTCCTGAATGCCATCCTGCAAGAGGCCCACGGTGAGGTGGGCCTGGGGAAAATGAAGAAAATGATCAAGAAGATGATCAAGCGCATCAACGAGACCCGGGTGCGTCCCTCTTCCCAAGTGCTGGCTGTTGTTTGTTGGTGTTGGTGTTGCGGTCGGTACTGCGCAAATTGGTGCTTGGGGGTGGGTGTGGCGGTCGTTTCCACAAAGGACGAATACAGAAAATCATCTGTAATATGCATACAATACAAAGTCTCGTTGTGTGGTGCTATCTTTCGATCCATGTGCTCGAGAGCCTTGATGACAAGAACATGCCTTTCGTTTTTTTCTTTGGTTGCCTTGTTTCAATTTTGCTCGCTTTTCGCTCGTTGTGTTCCGTTGATTTGCCCTTGATCGTCCGGGGGGCAAAAGGCAGCCGCAGGAGCAGGACTCATCCATCTCAACAATTTGATGTGTGTTTTTCTCATGCGTGTTTTTTTCGTTCGTGCTCGTTTTTTGTGTGCCTGTCGCTCCCCGGGTTCATCTGCTGTTGTCGTTGTTCCCAGGAGGAACAGAAGCAATTGCGGACGCAGAGCCTGCTCAAGCCCAAGCGGGAAGTGTCTTCCCAAAAGCTTCACCCTGCCTACGCCGTGAGTTGTCGTTTCATGTCGGGTTCGGTTCCTGTGGTCTCGACTTGTTCGACCACATCCTGCTCCGGCTCTTTTTCTCCCAGCTCTTTTTTTCCCATCCTTTCGTCTGTCCGTCCACCCACCCCTCTCTCCTGTGTGTGCCAGAATACAGAAACGGCCTTGTCCATGGTTAAAATTTGCGCGGGTTAGGTTGCCCTGGTTGTGTCAACTTCGCCCCCCCCCCCCTCGTGCTTGAGCTATTTTCCCTCTCGGCCCGTGTCTCATTTTCTTCCACCCGTCCACCCACCTACCCACCTCTCTTTCTCTCCCGTGTGTGTTTGTGTGTGTGCCAGAGCAAAAAGCCCACGTTCTCTAGCTTTGCTCCGAGCACCATCCCCGACAAGGTGCCAGACGCCATGCTCGACATACCGCCCAACGTGGTGGGCTGGGTCATCGGCAAGAACGGCGCCCGCATCAATGACATCCAGAGCAAGACCAACGCCGCGGTGAGCAATTACTTGGCATGGATAAGAACAAACTAAGGGGCTTGTTAATTGTTGTTGGTTCGTCCGTGGTTTGGTTTTTGAGTCACCATGTGTGCGGTTATTTTTGCACGACCTGAAGATGATGTAGCATATTGATTCTCCGAAGGCTCTTTTGCATTTCTTTTGGTGTGTGTATTGTCGGTGCACTTTTTTTTTTTTCAGCGTTTCGCCACGTGCGCGTGCGTGTATGGCGTTGCTTTTCTGTAACCTTGGGGTGCGTTTCCTCTCTCTTAGCTCTACTCTGCTTCTCTCTCGTCTGTCTGTCTCTCTTTCTCTCTCTCTCGACTGTCTCTGTCTGTCTGTCTGTCTGTCTGTCTGTCTGTCTGTCTGTCTGTCTGTCTCTGTCTCTGTCTCTGTCTCTGTCTCAACTCTTCTCTGTTTCTCTCTCTCTCGTCTGTCTGTCTCTGTCCCTCGCTCTCTGACTCTCCTGTCGTGGTGGATGTTTTTTTTTTTTTTTCGCTTCTTTAAAGATGTGGATGGATCAGAACTTCCCCGACGGGGTGATGCGCAAGCTTCACATCCACGGCAACAAGCAGCAGGTGGAAGCCGCCATTGACGAGGTGGAGTTCCTCATGAAGTCTGCCCCGGTCAACACTCCGAGGCCGGGAAAGATGGGCCCAAAGGTGAGAAAGAGAAAAATATGTAAATACCCTTGTGTTTTTTTTGTCTGTCATGATTTCAAAGTCGAGAAAGAGAAAATGTCTACGTGCTTCTCTATGCTTCTCCATGTTTTTCTTTTTTTTTGTCTGTCATCACTTCAAATCAGCCCTTGTACAGCTTTCGTGCCGCGTATGAGTAGTGGTGGTGAATTCATTTCTGTGTATTTTTAGAAAAAGAAGAAGAGAAAATCGATAAATCCTCGTACTTTTTGGCCGAACGATCTTAACGTCTTCACGTACGGTGGAGGTTAGTGCTGGCTGGCACAGTAGTGAGCGTCTGAAACCTCCGCGCCTTGGCTGGGACTTTCGTTGGTGAGGGGCGCTTGTATACCTAAAGGTTTGTTTTGTTGTTCTCGCTCCATGAGAGGTGACTGTCGTAAGGATCATGTTCTCTACCCAAACGACGTGGTACAGCAGCTTCCCTGTAGCCAACGAGCATAATGTGGTGAACTGCTTGTACGTTGCCCAGAGTTCGGCTGTGTGGACTGTTACGCTTCGGAAGCGTCACAGAACTTAATAATGAATAATGCCTCCGGGAAGGTTAATGAGAACACCCAGTGTGTTGGCATCAAGGGGGGGCACGCAAGATGCACGATGAAGAAACAACAGCAGGCGAGGTAGCATGACCAGCCCACAGCTCAGACAGAGCACCCAATGTAGTGTCATCAACGGGGTGAAGCAAGATGCACGATGAAAAATAACAGCCGGCGAGGTACTAGCAGGACTAGCCGACAGCTCGGAGAGAACACGCGGTGTAGTGTCATCAAGGGGGTGACGCACGATGCGACATGAATTTAACAGGAGACGGGGTACTAGCAGGGCCTGGCTAACCGAGCTGTGGACTGGTCCTTCTAACTCGCCGGCTGTTTTTTTTCCGTCCTGCATCTTGCTTCACCCCCATGATGACAGCGCGCTGGGTGCTATCATTAGCCTTCTCCGGAGGCATCACTTTGACGTGAAGGCGAAATACCTACCCTATTCATAGTGTTTGCCGGGATGGAGTTGCTGCTACATGTCTCTGGAGACGGCGGCTTTATCTCTCCCTCCCCTCTCACTCTCCCTCGCTCTCTCTCTCTCTCTCTCTCTCTCTCTCTCTCTCTTCTCTCTCCCCCTCTATCTCTATCTTCCCGGCTACCCTATAACAGCAACTCCCCCATGGAGGCGGCTTGCCCCCGGGACACCCGGATCTCAATTACTCCAAGAAAACCATTAAGTGTCCCCACGCTCTGGTTGGGTATCTCATCGGTAAAAAGGGCGCCATGATCAAGCACATCAAGGTGAGGAAGGAAGTCCAATGGGTGGGGAGGGAAGGGGGCCCAATGATGCCGAGGGTACTTATCTGTTGGTTGCCCAATATTGGTTGGTTGCACCATTAGTACCTTATTCTTATCCCCTCCGAGACGGACCGCACCTTTTACGTCTGGAGGTCTGAAGTTTTATCATGATGGTACTTTGTGCCGTACTTGCACCCTTTTTCGTTCTTTGGGTCGCTATATCTATACCCTTTTTGTTTTTGTTTTTTAAGACCGTCTCTTGTACCTGCTGTCTCGCCCTTTTGATGAAACCGAAACTGTGACCATTTGAACAATAGTCGATGAGCAACGCGAACGTGGAGCTGTTCCAGGGATACCCTGATGGACATCCCCGCGACGTGTTTATCACGGGCACTGCCGATGAGGTGGATTTAGCCGCGACTCTAGTGGACGAGGTGAGTTAAGAGAGACAGACAGACAGGGAGAGAGGGAGAGAGAGAGAGAGAGAGAGAGAGAGAGAGAGAGAGAGAGAGAGAGAGCCAGCAACAATATTGCAACCGCCACCCTTTGGCTAGTGAACGAGGGCGTGTATCTGATTCCGCCGATCGCTTTCGACGTCATGATCCTTCGCTTGAACAGGTGATCGCTTCCGGCACCGCCTCGGACAGTACCGCCGCTGCCGCTGCCGCCGCCGCCGCCGGCATCGGCCGTGCGCTTTCGTTTGCTAGCGGTCCCGTCCTAGGCTTCAACCCTTCGTCTGCCCTCTCACAGGTGAGAAATTTACCCCTGACTTAAATTGTTGCCGTCTGTCGCTCTGCTGCTGTAGCGTAGTACAGAAAACGCGCCTAGAAAATGATCCAAAATTGGCCACAAGAACGGGTTTTCAGCGAAGAAGCCTACAGTACACTATAATCGGTGTATCGTCGCCGTGGGGGCACCGTACTGCTGTCCCCCTCGAGACAAGACAATAAACGAGCCTCGGGCAAAATAAGAGGTGCTTGAACAAGGTTGAAGAAAAAATCCATAAAACTCAAAACTTTTTCATTAATCTTTAGTGATGGCGCGTTCTGTACCGCACCTACTTGTATGTAGCTCGATCCTTGTTTCTTGTCTTTGAGAAAACAAAAACCTCTGAGTTCATTTGTTTCCCTCCAAAGGTTAGAGTCCAGTGTTATCGGACATACCCCTGTCTTGTGCTCATCTCCGACCCTCTTTTTTTTAGTTTTTTTTTGTTGGCGCAGTCTTTTGTCTGGAGTTTTTCAGAATGCTCTGAAAACATAAAAATGTACCGTACGATTACAAGAGAGTTGGAGTTTTTCACCAAAACTAAATAACAATTCACCCTCGTTTGCGTACATTATACATACCCGCAAATGATGACACGACGCGACCCGATGCGCCAAAAAAAAAAAAAACAGGGCTCGTCCACCCCGCCATCAGTGGGCACCCCTTCCGTCGCCTCCGTGGGGACCCCGTCCGTCAGTTCTATCACGCACAACTTCGGCGACCTTGGCGGTCTCGGAAACGGAGGAGCAGCAGCAGCCGGCATGAACGGTCACCCGGCCTCGGCGGCGGCCACGCAGATGGCAATCGACAACCTCCACAGGCCGCCGCCGCCGCCTGGTATGGGGGGGCCCGCGGCTGGGGCGGGGCCGCCGCCCCACCACCCGCCGGGCATGATGGGGGCACACGAAGAGTATTTGGCGCAGCAGGAGGCGCTGGCTCGGCGGCACCAGATTCAGTCGCCGATTCTTACCTTGGACTGGCAGCAGCAGCAGCAGCAGCAGCAGCAACACCAGCAACGCCAGCAGCACCAACAACACCAGCAACACCAGCAACTCCAGCAGCAACAGCAACAACACCAGCAGCAACAACACCAGCTGCAGCAGCAGCAGCAGCCGCCGCCGCCGCCGCCGCGAAAGGCTGCTGCTCCGGCCGCTGCCACGGCCCCGACGGCGGCTCCTCCTGCAGCAGCGGCGGCGGCCAACACTGCCCCCCCGCCCCCTCCCCCGCCGTTCAACAGCGTGGAGGAACTGCTCGCGAAGGCCGGTCAGATGCACCTCCTGCCCAACTTCCTGGAGCAGGAGTTCGACGTGAACGCGATCGTGCTGATGGAGGAACAGGACTTCGACGAGATCAAGGCAAGAAGTTCCGTCGTCTGGTTTTTTTTGTTGTTGTTAGCATCGACCGCGCTAACCCGGCGGACTAATGAAAAGACGTCAGTCTCAGTGCGGCTAAAAAGAGAGAGTGCTTCTCAAGGCCATGATCTGGGACCCCGTGAGGGTGTGTGTGTGTGTGGGAGCACTACGTGTCTTCTGCTTGCGCTGTGCTAGCGTGCGTTGCCGCAGCAGAGAAAAGGAGAGATTGTGCGGTGCGTGTGTGCATGCCATGCGTGTTCTCTGACGTCATCACACGAGACAGACCTACTATAAGCTGCCTGGCCGAACGACTCACGGGCGAATCGCAGCGAATCGCGGGCGAATCGCAGCGAATCGCACGCCACTCGCAGCTGTGTGTGTACCTCTTGTGGTCCCGCAAGTGCGAACGGTGTAAAATCGATCGCTCTCCCTCCCTTCACCCCGGTTTCTGTCTCTTGACCATCCTGCTCCCCCCCCCCCCAAACACAGATCCCTTTTGGTCCCCAGAAGAAGATCCAGAAAGCCATCCGAGAGGCCACGGCGAACATGGAAAGAGCCGCCGCGGCCGCCAACGGGACAGCCGCCGCCCCCGCCGCTACCGGCAGCGACAGCGGCGGCGGCGGTGGAGCCGGCGGCGGCGTGGGAGCCGGCGCTGCTGCCGCGACCGAGGACGAGCCGCGGGCGGCTGACCTGTGCGCCATCTGCATGGAGAACCCGATCGAGGTGAGTGATCTTGTCGAGAAATATTCTGGAGTTGGCGTTTTGCTGCGGAGGGGAGGGGGGAGATGCACGCTGCTGTTGCTGGTTATTTCCCCCCCGCAACCCCTTCCTCCGTGTTTCTCGCCCCACCCTCTTTTCAACTGGACCGCACGATCATACGGTTCTTCTGTCCTCGAGTGCCGGGATTGATCGCGTACGCTTTTCCTGCCCCGCCAAATCGATCGCTTGATGAAGAGGTTGACCTTGTGTGCTGGACTGGTGCTGTAGTATATTGCAGTGGCATCAACCATTGCAGTGGCATCAACCATGATTAGGGTTACAGTTACGGTTGGGGTAGGGTAGGGTTACATATTTTTTCTTTGTCACGGTTGCGCGTGCCGCGCCAAGCTTGACGTCGTCGGCTGTCATGTATCCACCACACAAGCCGGCGGACGTTTGTCAACGCTGCCGCAGCGTGCGGCATGTCTCCGTTTTCATGGACAGCTTGTCATTTTGCTCTTTTTTTTGCACGGCGAGCCGACAACGAAACAAACGCTGTGATTACTCCCTACCCGACCTTGTGGCTCATTTTTTTTTTTTTTTGGCATACCCCACCGACCGGGGGGGCGTACCTACTGCCCGCATCGCAGGTGACCTTCGTGGGGTGCGGACACTTCATTTGCTGCGTGACGTGCGGCAACAGGCAGGTCGGATCGCCGTGCCCGCTCCCCGAGTGCCGGATCATGGTTGAGCGCGCAGTGCAGCCCTATACCGGGTAGAAGCTCAACAGGGGGGGGGGGGGGGGGGTCAAGTCAACTCTCGATGAAGT